ACCTTCCTTTTCGCCACTGTGTGCCTGGTACCTGCCCGTGTTGGTCGGAAACTTCGCTGTCCTTCTTCGATTTACAGCTTTCCGTGCTAACCTTCGTTGCACCAGTGGCTTCATGATGGTGGTTTTGATGATCTGGCAAACTCTCGCATTTTGCAACTTCCCCGCATGCTCTGCGCTGCTTGATTACACCTGGATTTCTGCGACGACTTCGAGTACTGAGCGCGGGGGACACCTAGACGTTTGGCGCTTTTGGTTTTGGCGGGTTGCTGCGGGTTTTTGTGGTTGTGTTTGGTGGTGTTTTTGGTGTGTGCTTGCTTTGGTTTTCGCGCCTGCGACTGTTTCACCTCTAGTGCTGAGACCCACAAGGACGGCCTACTGCGCTGCTGATGTAGTAGAGAGGCGACGGTTCCAAAAAAAAATGACTGCATGTAGCGGCTGGCGTTCGAGCCGCTCTTTGAAGGAGAGATCTCTTTCAATCTTGATATGGTAATCTCCACTGGAGGAATCGTCTACACGGAAGTACCTCTTACCAGTGCGAAAGCGCTGGAAGAACAGTTTCGCATTGTCATCAGCAAGGAATATCACTTTCAAAAACCCCTGTGTAGTCGATAAGAGGTGATTAGTTACGGACTGGACGTGGGAGGAGCCCATCTCAGCTGAGGAGAGCAAGTATCGCAAGTTGCTATCTATGGACTTCTTTGTAGCGAAGGGGGGAATATTGTGAATGAGAACGGTACGCATATGGAGGTCTGCAGAACCTGCCAAATTGTTGAAGTGCTCTATGGTAAGTCGACGATCTGCACTCTTGAACCTAGCATCGAGGGCTTGGGAGTTCTGCTGTTGCATCTGGTTCATGGCAGGGAGAACGTGGTGGGTATGATATTGCTCCAAGAATTCTTTGATGTTATCGGCAGTAGCCGCAAAGTTAGGGTTGAGGTTATGGGAAACCGCGGGAGCTGAAGATTCTGATGGAGTTGGGGTAAGGAAGGAGTTTGAGGCTGTATCCAACTTGGGGAGCTTATGCTGCTTCCTTCTGAGCTTGAAGGCCTGGAGTGCCTCTGGGTTATGTTGCAAATGCTCCCTATGGGCGGGGTCCATATCACCCCACTCTATGGGTTCATCGTCAGATTCTGTCTTAGCTGACTGGTTGGTGAGTTGTCTGGTTCTAGCCTGCACTACACTGGGCATCGAGGAGAGAGAGATCCTGCTTTGTGAGTGGAGAGGAGAGCATCGAACTGCTCTTTGGGGATTTCAGTAACCGTAGTACCCGTGACCATTTGGTACTTGCCATTAGAGTGTTCTACCAACTTTTGGGAGGGAGCTATGGGGAATTCTTTGGGGGCCATTGCAGCCAGGGAGGTGTCGGCGGCCGCTGCTACTGCAGCTTCGGTAGATGGGAGCTCGGCTTGCAACTCGCAAGGCGCGGCTTTAGCCATGTGGGGCGCAGGAGCTGCGCCATCGGACGGGGGCGGGGATTCTGCCATGGCAGATCTAGCGAAAGTACAGATACCGTGAGTGAACTCTAGCAAAAGTCTTAGGACAGGGCACGACTAAAACTAAGAAAATGAACCAAGAACAAATAAACTCCTTAGGATCAAACAAGGCTATAACGCGATAAAAGGCGCAATATGCGAAGAACGCAAAAGTGATCCCTAGGAAAGCTCCCTACCTTAGGGGCTCCCACTGGGCTGTGGGACAGCTCTGTGCTCGAGCCTATAGTTTAGCGTGCTTGTAGATTTTACTCTGTACTCACATGTACTTTTGCGCTCCGCCGTGTTCGCCAGGAGAATGAGCAGCTTCGCAGCTTCAGCTGAGTTTTGGGTTTTCACAGTCCCATTCGATGCCACGATGCCTGATTCTGAGGATGATCCACACATGTTTATCGCAGATCCTCGTGATGGTCTGAAGTGCAGGATTTTTCTCGCGCATCATGTCTTTGTTTTCAACGTATTTCTGCATGCGCTGGATTTGCTTGCAATAGAGTTCCCCATGCAGTCCTCTTGAAGCTTGTGGGGGCTGCCATCCACTGTTTCGTGAGACATTGTTTAGCAACACATGTCGCAGTGTTTTTGGGTGGAAAGCGGCGGCTCTTGTGAAACAATCTGCCTCCCCCGCCGCTTTCCGTGGGTGAGCAGCTAGGCTTGCGGCTGCAGGCACGAATCATGAGTCGAACGCAACCATCCGTTGCTGGAAGGTGAGAAGATGCATCACGCGGCATGTCGAAACATGTGCCTTCAGTGATGCAGGCAAGCAGCTGGTGCACAGCACAAAAACCAGTTGCATCCAGCGTAATTAGTCTGGGTAGCTGTATATCATTTAGTATGTCAGCGCATTTGCCAGACAAGTGTGCGTTGCGACGTATCGGTTTGCGAATATGGCTGCGAGTGCGAGTGATGCTAGAAAAGTTGAAGGAATGCCCATGCAACAGTTCTCCTTTGGAATTGAAGAATTTGTTGTTGGAGCAGGGCTCTTGTCTTGGAGTGCCTCAGTTCTTTGGCTCTGCAGGACAGCGCGTCTCTGGGCAGCTCCAAACAAACTTGGATCTCCTGATGCCTTGAAATTGCTGAGGACGAACAGAGGGCCTGCCCCTTTCCGCGGAAGCTTTGGGGGCATCTGCACTCAGATTGTCAATCCTCAACCCCCTTCGAACACTATCTTGTATCCAGATTTACGGAAAGAGCCTCTTTTTTAAGATGGCTCGTTCAGAAATGGCTTTTGCAGCATAGACCGGCAAACGGGGGCATGTGCAGTGAGATTTTCAATCCTGAAACCAAATATCTTGTAGTCAGATTTACGGAAGGAGCCTTTTTTTCAAAGATGGCTCGTTCAGAATTGGATTTTTGCAGCATGGCAAGCGGGGGCATCTGCAGTCAGATTTTCAATCCTAAACCCCCTTCAAGCCAAACACTTGTTCAGATTTACGGAAGGAATTGATCTTTTGAAAGTCCATGCGTTTCATAACACGTGTTAATGAATTCGTATTAGGCCCTGTATTCCTTGAAGAAAATAGAAAGCTCATACAATCATAATTCAAGTAAATGTTGTCGGAGACATGTTGCGGCCTCATGTAGTGCGTTCTGGCTCGAACCTAAAGAGATTGAGTCTCTCAAGAACTTTGTTGCGCCCTTAATCGTTGTTCGTTGCCTTGTCTTGCATGGACTCTTTCCACAACATATCTGCAAGGTGACACTGCGGCAAAGACGAGCGATGCCTCGATTTGCGAGTGGTCTTGTTGGCCGCCAAGTTTGCGTTGTGCGCCATCTGCCGCAACACGGGGGATCACAATCGCTGCGCCAACGTTCAACATTCAAGGCTTTTGTGTCATGGCTTCTTGCGTCGGAAGCCTGGGCTTACGGGCCGAACTATGGCAACACCAGTTGTTTGCTCTGGCAGGCAGCATGACCGATGTGCTATAGAACTTGACAGTTTGATTCTTCACACGATTGATGTTTGCAGGGAGACGGGTGCGAAAGCATTAGAGAACAGACATTGTGTGCCAGGACCCAAGTACATAAAGTGCTCACACGTTGCAACATGTCGAAGACTCTCGCTGAAATCCAGGTGAATAGTCGCGACGGCATGGCCCACGACTTGTTTGGAAACGTTCGAGTAGGCCCATCCGCCATGCCATGAAGTGCTGCAATTTTTGGTGATCGTGAGTTTTCCAAGATGTGGTGATTCGGTTGAATTGGTTCCGTCTGCAGGTAAGCCCTGTGCCTGGCATAAATCAGGGGTATGTGCGTGAGAGCCTTGGGTCGCCTCTGGAGGTCACTAGCAGTCAGCCAGCCAACCTCACCAAGGCGTGTGGATGATTGGACCCGCAAGTTGGAGAACCCAAGTACTCGGCCCAGTTGTGACATCGTTTGTGCAAATTGCAGCATGTTACACCCCCGGGCCCATTGGATGCCAGCTTTGGGCATTGAGGCGACTATACCGTGGCCAAGTGCAAGGTCGTTGTGCATTCGCGACATGACAACAATCACGTGCGCCAATGCGCATCTCTAAAGCCATGTCAGGAGAACGCCACCATCGACAATACCATTGCCACGGTGACACCTCCCGCGGCTTCCCAGGGACAGTTCAGTTCGGATGCCAGGGTGCGCACCCGAGAAGTGAATCAAAATGGAACGTCGGAGTGGAAACGAAGGCCTTGAAAGGCTTGAGCACAAATCAGAGGTGAGTTGGTGCAAGGTGCAAAGCAGTGGTCATGCCGAGGCCCACATGCCATGGAGCAAGGTTGAGTTGATGCCAATGGATGGTGGCATCGACAGAGCTTGCCGTGGAGTGATGCAGACCCAGACCGGGTTCGCCCAGCCTGATCTTCTTTGTGCACATTGTGCTCCACGTTGTGCGTTTGACATGGATCCCGCATGGCGCCAGGCACGTTGCACGCCTGTACAACCTCTGGACGGGTTGATCACATTGCTTTGTTGCTGAAGTTTGCATAGTTATGTGTGCAGCAGGTCAATGTTGGTCGTGATGTTTTTTGCAACGTGCTGGGCACGACATGTAGGACTGCACAGAATCTTGAAGACTGCAAGGCATGGGTGAGTTCCTTCGCTGGGGAAATCCTGAAGTTATGTATTCAGAGTCAGAGACTTCGGGCCAGAGGGTTCAGTGATGCTGCCAGGCTCTTTGCACCGATTCGTGCAAGGGAGTTGAGTTCCAAGCCGAGAACAAGTACTGTGAGGCAGGTGTTTTTTTCGAAGTTCTCATTCTCGCGGCAATCATTTTTAAACTGTCTTGGCTCGAGGTCTGGTATGGAGATGTCCTTTTCTCAACGCCGAACCCAGGGTTTGAATGTGCTGCGCTCAGACTCGGAAGTGATTCTGTACCTCTGACCTTCTAGGCGAAACAAGTCAGAATTTTCATCAAAGGCTTCGCAGTTCGTTTGCTTTCAGGTTACGTTCGAAAGAACCAGGCCGAATTGAGTTTTGTGGCCTTCCGTATGCGAGACAACATCACAGTGTGAGTGGCAGGACCAGGCTGCCAAGCTCGCGATGGTGCGCCCGCAGGACTCGAAAGGGGGGGCTCAAATTCTCGACGGGGAGAACTCAAGGAAGAGGAAGCCAGGAAGGACGTACCTGTCCGACTTGTTTAAATTGAGGACCAAAGCTGCCTCCGGGCGGAGCCGAAGGGCTGCGCTGCTCTGAAGGACAGCAGCAAGAAAGCTTTTGGAAGAGACTTGTGGACCTTGTGGAGCTCAGAGGCTGCCATGTGTTGCCATGTCCTGGGGCAGGATCGATTCAGCTGCCTCAGCAGCAAGGATGCCAGTGAGAAAGAGGATGTTTTTGGTTTGAAGGCTAGCAGCTGGTGAATTGCTTTTCTCTGATTCCTCATAATTTTCTTCTTCCTCTGGTGATTCTTGTGCTCTGCCACAAGGTGAATGATGAGCCATGTGTTTGGTGTGGTGGGGGGCAGAGACCTCAGGTCTGCCTTAGTCACAAGCCTTAGTCATCCTTGACCGGGCCGATGACATAGCTTGCTTTGAGGCTTGCAGGGTTCGACAGAGGTACACAGGGTTACACAGGGTTACACAGGGTTTCACAGGGTTTCACAGGGTTTCATAGGGTTTTACAAGGTTTGACAGGGTTTTGAAGTTTGCACAGCAGGGGCGTACAGTGCAAGCCGGCTGACAAAGCTTCAAGGCTGTGCCACACTGGCGGCGTGAGTATGTGCGAGCCGTTCGATTTCTTGATGCGTGGGGCGGGCAAGGACTCGTGACTTCTGCTCGTGAAGGTAGCTGCAGCATGTGGCACGTCAGAGCATTAGCCCATGCAGAGAAATCGTCTGTTTGGGCTGTTCTCTCTAGTCGTGCAAGGGCCGTGTGTGGTGAGTCACTGATAGTCTATGTTGTGGTTGAGCTTGTCATTGTCCCAGGACCATGCGTTCGGAAGCTTTACAGCCTCCGGGGTCTTTGAGACACCATCCTGCGAGGACCTGGTCAGAGTATTGCAATTGTTGACATTCTGACTTCTTTTGCACATCTTTTTTTTTGTGCTCTTGGAACTTACAACTGCGTCAGCTTTCTCTTTGCTACGAAGGAAGGCCAGGCAGCTGTCTTTGCCCAAACAGACACCTGGTGGCAGCCAGAGCGCCCTCTGGAGGCTTCAGAATGGCCTCAAAAAATTTCTTTAAGATTCTCAGAATTCCGGCGATGTGCTTTGTGTGCTTTGTGTGCTTTGTGTGCTTTGTGTGCTTTGTGTGCTTTGTGTGCTTTGTGTGCTTTGTGTGCTTTGTGTGTGCTTGTCACAACCCCTCCAGGCTGAGATTGCCGAGCTGAGCCCCGTGGTGGGTGGCTGTGCGTCCGTTCGGGACTGCAAGGGCAGTGCAACGGTGTTTCGACACGTTGTGTGTGGTGTGTTGTTTGTCCGAAAGCTTTGTCAGGACATGGCAACATGCCTGAGCAGCAAAGATGGGAGTTCCAATGCTACTTGGGGATATACTCCGTACAAGGTGCCGTGAACCTGCTGAAAGCAGTAGAAGTGATGAAGTTTTCCAAGCTACATTGAATGCTGTGGCCCCTGGAAGGTGCAGGGCGAGGCATGTGTTTGGTGTGGTGGCGTGTGGCTTGCCCAGATGCGTGACAGATGCAAAGGAGCTGTGCAGTGCTCTGCTCCATTTGTCACCGACTTGAGTCCTCTCTTGCATGTGTGAAATGTTTGAGGCCTTGCACGGATGCCAGCACATCACTGTGCATGCCGTTTGACCTTGTGATGAACGGACAGGGCCCAGTGCCGTCCTAAGATCCTAAGTGCCTCCCTTTGTTCTTTGCTCTTGCCTTTGACATCCTTTGACCGAAATACTCTGCCAGCACCACGGAACCTTCTACGCCAAGCACTCGTTCAAGGTGGCAGCCATCAAGGTCAGCAGAAAGTGTTGCCGTGCTGGGATTGCAGATGCTATGTAGTATGTAATACGTGGAAGGATTCTGAGAATGTGGTGGCCGCCGACATCGTGGCCACCTCATTTTGTCCAGCATCCGCATGATTCCGCATGCACAGCTCGGAGCACTGGCGTCAGCAATCGGTTCATCTCGCGATGCAGGACGTGCAGTGCCTCTCCCCCGACAACGCTGGCTGCAACACGCTTGGGCCACAGAGTGATGATGAGTGATGATGAGTGATGTAGGTGTTGGGCTGACCCTCCAAGCTCCAAGCACAGGCTCACCGATGCCTTCAAGTGCCTGGCCAGCATCGACGGGCGCCCCAACGCGACCATCTTTGGCCGCAAGGCCCTGCGCTGCCGTGTTCTCCGGAAGTGTCTCTCGCGAGTTACAAAGTGTGCACTTCAGAGTGCGCAAGAAAAGGTGAAAGGCCAGCCATGCGTGTGGTGCAACGGAAGGCTGGGGCTGAAGAGCAAGAAAGGGTGTGCATAGGCATAGGTGTACAAGGGTGCGCCCAGTGAGGAACTGCAACAACGAGGGCGGCCTTTGCGAAGCGTATGACTTGCAGATGAACGGCGCCATGGAGTGCAAGATTTGCTTACAAGTCGATGCAGTTTTTCTGTGATCTTTCATACTTTGTGCCAGTTTTGTGCCATTGTTGCCAATCTGAGGCGAGGGCTATGTCTTTGCAACAAGTCCCTGGGTTGCATTGGAAAGGATGTCGAACATGTTTGCACGTGCCAGCATCACTAAGGCTTCGACAAAAATCCCATGGTGGCTCAATGTGAGGCCGGTGCGTGGCGTTCGTGCGTGCGGGCGGGGTGGGCGGGCAGGTGGGTGGGTTGCTGGGTGGGCGCGCCTGTGCCTCTCTGTGATTGCGGGCGTGCTCTCTCTCGCTCGCGCGAGCGTGCGTGCGTGGGAGTGGGTGTGTCTGGGTGGGTTGGTGGGTTGGTGGGTGGGTGGGCGGGTGCCTGGGTGGGTTTGTCCGGTGTCCGTGTATGATTTTCCGAGTTGGTGCAGACACAGTGGACGCATCTAGCGAAGCCATCCACTTGTGCTGGAAGCGGGGCCTGATCAGCCCTGTGTTACCGTGCTTTGACTCAGGTTGAGTTTCGTGATGTTCTCGTGATGTTCAAGACGGTTTCAGAACCGATGTACACAACCGTTGGTGGTAACGCATCTACCTGCAGGACATAACTTAGGCAATGGCTCGTATCAGTTCGGTTCTCAATACGCGTGTGGCTTTGTCGGCAACAGCAACCTCCACTTTCCGATTTGCTCCCACAGCACGTCTATCAACCACCACCTGCTACAAGCACCTCACTTTACCGTCAACACCACATGGAACGAACCACTTTACAAACAACCCCGAACAAAACTCCAAAGAGACGCACAAGGCGGAGCCGCCGAAACAAAATAGACTCCCCCCATGCAACTCGTCAAGTTGTGAAGTTCCGCAACGCGGGAGTGTGTGTGTGTGTGTGTGTGTGTGTGAGAAGCGCCTTAAAGAAGAGGCGAAGGGGGTCACGCCCATCACGTGCCAGAAGCCGATTTCGGAGACGATTATTGAGAACTTCGTGCAGGGGGTGTAGGCTGCACATCCAGTGAGGCAGCAAACGGAGACACTGGATGTGTGCTTGTGATACTGGGCCTGGTCAGCCCAGCGTACCTGCTATCAAAAAAAAATCTGACATCATGATCGTACATGCTGTGTATGCTGCCACCCTGTGATATCCTCATGGTGCAAGCCCAAGAATCCTTGAAAACATCAGGGCTCATGTCGACACACAGCAAAAAGTGCACGTTTGCCGCAATCTGCAACCTAAGTGATTTCTTAGAATCATATTCTTCCGATCCAAGATATCCAAGCACATGACACAACGAGTTCTGGAGGGAGGCAGGAGTTCATGCAGTTGCGCACCGATTAGTGTGTGTGTGTGTGTCTCTCTCTCTCTCTCTCTCTGTGAGCTCGTGCACGTGCTTTTGTGTGTTGTGTGTTGGGTGACTGCGTAGCAGTGCCGAACGAACCCGATGGGTGTTCACCATGGAAAGGACTCTTGTCCCCTTTTTGTTTGTGATGTCATGCATCGTATGTTCATACTCGCAGTGCAATCTGCAATCCCGAATCTATGTTTAATCGCTCGTACCTTCGTGCTGCGAACGCCGGTGTCTTGCGAGTGGCAGCAGAAACATGAGATTTTGCATTAATACGCACGTCTATGTTGGGGTGAACATTCCTGAGTTTGGCTGCTCGGTCAGGCCGGCATGGTCAAAGCGCATCCTCATGTGCACTCGGCTGTCCTCAGTCTTCCTGAACCGAAGATGGCCGCGTGGCATATTTTAACAGTATGTTTTGCTTTGCATCAGGGTGTGCGACAAAGAAGCACAGTACAACTTCACGAAACTTGCCATCTTGGCTTGATCTCAGGACAACTTGGGCTGCCTGACTGTTCAGGCAAGCTGTAGTCACTGTATTTGGCTTATGTTTGCTTTGAATCATGTTGCCTGCTCAGCCCGCGGGATGCATGGCTATTACCGACAAGCTGTCCTGCCTCAGCCTTGCACTCGGTGATTGCAGAGCTTTCAGAGGTGTCTTAACGGCCTGTGACGGGTTCGCAAGAATGGCGTAATTTTCTGCGCAGCCCAAATAAGGCAGCGTCGATGGCTCCGTGGACGCTTCTTTCGGAGGCTTCAAGATCCGCGGGCAGCCTTGCGTGTGGTGCGGTGGCACGCCGCAATCTGAGATTCGATACGGATGAAGAGTTTGCTTTGAAAGACAGACGTCTCAGGTCCTGCACAGATGGTGGAAGCTTCAAGTGCGCGCCCTTTGATTACCTCACCAAAGGGGCAACTAAGGCCTGGCGTGTTGCTGTAGCATGTCTGGCATGTCGGCGCGACGTGGACAAACATGTTCCGAAGGTGTTCCCTCACGTGACCGTCTTCGTCCCAGAGGGCTGTCAGTCTTGAAAGCGCATGCGGGCACATGCCACATGCTGTCATGATGCACACGTCCCTCGTATTCAGGCGGTGTCTGCAACCGTTGCCCAGTGCCATGTGCCTGCCTGAGACCATTGAGGAAGCCAGGTTGTGCCGTGGAAGCTCGAGACAGCGCAAGATGTCCTGAACGCACATCAGGCCGAGAGCCGCAAGTTCCCGGAACAAGAGACGGCTTGCCTCAAGCTCGGCCCTCAACACCTCTTAGAAGCTTCACGTGGCAACGCAAAAGCTTGTCTCTATACTTCTCAATGCAAGTCGTTTCCTTCTCTCTCTGTCTTCCATCTAAAGCTGACTTTGCCTGGGGGGCTGCAGGGGTTCGCAGCTGTGTGCCAGGTCTGCGGAGACAGGCTGCAACAACATTCGGGTGATCCCTCCATGCTTTCCTTCTTCTCCTGGTCTTGTCTTGGAAGCTTAGAAGCTGGGAAGTCGGCTTCGCAACGGTAGATTCTGGTCGTTATGGTGCCAGGACATGGCTACTTGCGTGAGCAGCAAGGAAGCTCGCCCCTACGAGTTCATCGCAGGCTTCAAGGCCTCTTGCTGTTTTTTCACTTTTTCACTTGGCATCCCCCATGGCCCAAGCCAAGCGCCTGGAAGTGCTTTCGCAGGTCAAGGGTGAGCCTTGCGTTTGGTGCGGTGGCGGGCCAGCCTCTCACGGCGTGCACGACAGACCTGCGCTGCCACCCATGTGTGAGTTTCTACCAGGATTTGCAACACCGGATCGCCGAACATGTGCGAGCCATACGATTACGCCGTCAATGGGGCAGGCCGTCAGACTTTGCAGGGTGTGTGGACTTTTTGCAGCCTTCAGTTTGGATCGCTTGGCCAGGACATGCCTTTGCTACACAGCTCAGCAGCTCGGCCGGAGTGGGGGCTTTCAACGCAGTGGCCACGCAACTTCTGCGGGCTGAGTCGGTCGTTTCTCGATTTTGGTTTGTGTTCAAATTGTGTTCTTTGCTTTGGTTTGAGTTTCCTTTGGTGGATGGTCGCTAGTCTCCGGGCCCCACCTTTCCTCATGCAAACAGATCATACTCCTGAGCACAAGGAGTTGGATCTGAACCACCTTCCACAAGCCAAATGGCCAGAAAGAAGGAGGGGCTCCCTGGATTTGGATAAAACAAGTCATGAGGGTGGCAGCTCCCGCCCCCCCCGCTCCCCCGCCCCCTGCGGTGCTTATGTCTGCTCTTGCAAGTACTGCGAGCAAATGAAATGTCTCAACAGAGCGTGTGAAGACAGCAGGGTCCCCAACAGTAATCATGTCAAACGCACTTGTAGAACATTTGGCACCTCCGGAAAAACTGCCGAGTGCCTAGGCGGCTTGGAAAAACGGAAGCTGCATTGGGCAGAAAAGACATGAAAAGGCAGTGCGGGCTACGTACCTCACGCCCTCTGACAGGCACAAAGGCAGCCGGTTACAAAATTTGTCGGCAGTACTTCAAGACCTAGGCGGCTTGCGGGGGGCTTTCGGCATTTCGGCATGCGCAAACGTCGGAAGATTCCGGGAAGTAGGGCGGGATGATGCCCATTTGTCAAGGAGTCGTTCCTAAGATCTGACAAGGTGCGATGAGATTTGTACCGAGGATCTGCTTGGAGACAGCTTGCGACAACCTTGCATGCCGCGGGTCGCCACACGCAAAGGACAACCAAAGAAAAGTGACAAATGTGAAACAAATTTCCATAATTGGCAGGCGACACCTAGACCGACCCTACATGAAGAGAGAGATATCGCGTGACAAAGCCGAGCCACAACAACAGGAGACCACACCGACCCTGCATGAATGTAAACGAAAAGGAAAGAGAGAGAGAGAGAGAGAGAGAGAGAGAGAGAGAGAGAGAGAGAGAGTTGGGGGGCCCTCTTCGGAAGGGGGCGGAACAGGGGCAGCTGGCAGGGGCCCTGACCCCGGCTTGACCCCGGCCTGAAGAGGAAGCCAAAAGGGGGGGGGGGAGAAATTTTGGGGACCAATGAACCGGCCTTCCCCATCCAGATTCACCTGCATGGATGGAGACAACGGGACGCATCCAAGACAAGGGCACCTCAACCCCCATGTTGAAGAGAGACTTTTTGGGCCTCCAAGTCTGCCTGCAAAAAGCACATTTTGCCGAGGCACCGGGCTGTACACCAGGGCAGCTTGTGACAAGGTGCGGATGGACACCGTGAGAATTGCATCTGTTCGGCATGTTCTGCTAAAGGATGGCCAGCCGGGCCCTGTGCAGCTGCCAAGTCGTCTAGAGTTGCACGGCTACCACCAAATGGCTCGACAGCTCAGACAGACTCCTTTTCTGCTTGTGGCGAAACTTCGACACATGAGGTTGCCACTCTTGACATACCTCACTCAGGTTCAGTGTGGACATCCGAACCCAACTTGGATGAAAGTGGGCCAAGAGCCTAGTATTTACTGTCGCCGCAACCTTGTGCGCAAGACATGGCAGAACTGCAGATGATTTCCGCTCGCCGACTTGAGGCAAGACTTGTGGCTTCTGCAAGGTCTTGGTGCCCTCGATCAAGGAGCTCAGAAATCATGTCCCAGCATGTCCCAGCACAGCGCAGACCCGCCACAGCTTCAGGAGAAGTTCGCCACTTGCCAGGAATATTGTAATTCCCAAGGCACGCAGGGTGTGTCAGGGCTTGGCGTGCGAGGAGGGAAAGCAGTGGTGACAGGTGGCTTGCAGTGCAAATCGGCCGCCTTTGGAGACATTGGCAGCTGTGACGTGTGCCTCCGGCCGGTGTGCAAAGGTGCAACGGTGACAGTTCGGTGTGAGCATGAAATGCTGTGCCAGGAAGCAATCGGCTTCCTGCGACACCGAGTTCCAGGTAACAAGCAGGCTCCGCTGAAGTTCGGTTTGATACATGGGCATCTGCGAGGTGTATGGGCACGCAATTTGCGAGTGCGAGCCGCTGACCAACCAGTTCAAGGCTGTGATCTGGATGCTGTACTTACACGATCGCTGTTCATGCTTTCAGCGACGAGGACACCAACGCGGCGTTTGCTCAAGCACTTGCTGTGCCAGAGGCGGTTCGGGCACTTTTCAGTGGTAGGCAACCAAGCAGCAACCCACACGCTGCCAACCTTGCACACCTGGTCAGACTGAGAGATGGCCCGGTTGAGAGATGACCCGGTGACGCGTTGGGTCTCATGTGATGCAACAAATACCAATTTCTCAGACTAATTACCAGCAGTTCTGATCCAACACTTCAGAGAACGACCCTATATCTGAGACTGGATGCCGACGCATGACCAGGTTGCGGGTCTCATTGTTGGGGCGACGAGTTAAGACCTAATCGAACAGCTCGATCAAGTGGCATCCATGCTGGCGGGAATCTGCCGCAATGAGTTTGCGGAGATGTACATTGGGTGGTGCTAGTCCACATTTCCGGGCGTGGACAACAGTCCTATCCCACGTACTTCATTAACAACATGGACCAGGACAAACATGGTAATGCTTGATCCCACAACCCTCAAGCTTTAGCCACTTTCGTCTTGTGGCATCTTGGCTTGGTGTTCTCATATGGATTTCATGTGGCCAGTGCGGGTGATGTTTTGTGCATGTTTGTCGATGTCATGTTGCGAGGTGCCCAACACTCAATGCCTCAACAGCGTGGTCGCTTCCCAAGCAGACAGAAATTTGGGCTGGTCCATTCCCTCGTCGCATGGGGGTGGTACACCTCTGAGGCTACGGGCTGCGGTTCCATCACGGACAAGCTGGACTGCCTCAGCACTATGTCTTGGAAAAATATAATTGCTTGATCATGCGCTGTTTCAGTTGCCGTGGCTTGTAAGGCAGCATGGACGGTAGCCCCAACGCCACCTACCGTAGCACGAAGATTGCTGGGCAGCCTTGCGCCTGGTGCGGTGGAGTGCTCGAATCTCAGACGTCGAGGTTGCATCAAGGTGCTTTTGGCAGTGCATGCGTATCTGCTGGCGTTGCCCAGGGCTTGCACATCTCACGATCCGTTTGCGAAGTGCGTTGCACTGGACTTCCTCGTCAACGGACAGGGCCCGGTGCCGGGCTCAGCTTGAAGCCTCCGAGCGCCGTTTGAGACGGCCTGAAGCAAATCATGCCATGTAGGAGGGAACAGCGTGCATCTCGCACACGTCACAGGCATATGCCACTCGCCACGTCGTGCTGCTCTTATCCGATAATCCTCCACTGCCTGTCATCTCTTACAATGTCTTACACTCTGATGCAATGAGTTGCCATGCTTGTGGAAGTTTTCCATTTCTTGCTTCGCTCAGACGCACCTCACTGTCGACGTTGCAGGCTGTGATAAGGCATTGCTTCACCAATGAGCCAGTTTGGCTTCCTCAGTGCTTTATCACTGCTCGGTCATCCTTGCCGCAGGCACCATCCACGAGAAACTTTGGCGATGTCAGCTGCTTGAAGCGCGAAGAGAGTGGCTGCAACACCATCAAGGAAGTTTGATGAAGTTTGCTTTACATCCTGGCTAGCAGCTTCTGTCTTGTAGAGCAGTTGCGAGCGGAGCGAGCGTGTCTTCAGGATCAAAAGACCTGCCTTTCCAGCGTTGATGGCCGGCCATACACCATGGTTGCTGGACTCAAGGCCAGCAGAAGAGAGCAACACAGATGACAAAATCAAACAAACCTCGTGCATACGGCCATGTCAAAAGGTGGAGGGTCAGCCGTGCGTGTGGTGCGGTGGACTGCCGACAGCCTCAGTGCTTGCAGAAGCAGCACTGCATAGTATCAAGCTTCACTACGAGCCCCATGGCCCGTGACTGAGGCCTTGCACTACCAACAATGCCAACCTCTGTGAGCCCTACGAGTTCGCCACCCACGGTGAAGGACGCATGCGAAGCCGTTGAATGTCGATCGACAATACGCACTCGCGGGGCTCAACTGGCTTTCAGGACATGCCTACGATTTCAACCACGAGCAGAACTTCTTCACCGCAGCTTGTGAGGACAAGGGATCCGGGGACGGAGGGAGAGAAAGAGAGTAGCTTGGGCCGGTAAAAGCCCGCTTCAAGCATTGGCCGCGATTCAAGCACGCCATCATTCAAGCAGTGGCGATACCTGCAGATGAAGCACTCGCGAGTCAAGCGCGAATCCTGATTCAAGCACGGGTGGTTCCAGCACAATTCCTCTTTCAAGCACTGGCGGTGTCGTCCCCCCCACCACCCCAACGAATTCCGACTCACCAGCGAAATGGGCCTCCTACCACCCCAGCTAAACTGTCGAGGTTAGGGTTTTTCTGGGCTGGGGGTGTTTATGGCTAGATTGAGGGGTTTTTAAGTGTTTGCAGCATTTAAAGTTCTTAAACCATCAAAGGCTGCAAAGGTTTTGAGGGCTGAGGTTTGATGGTCGAGGGTTTTTTGGCTACGGTTTCAGGCTTTAGGGTTTCCTCTTTACGGTTGCGTTTTTAGGTTTAAGGGTTGTGGCTTTGGTTTCAAGGCCTTCGCACCCTTTTTTCGATTTTCCTGCACCCCCTGCCACCACCAGGTAATATCTTGATTTTCAAGCTTAGGGCTTTCTGGGGTTCAGGGTTTTAGCCTCGACTCCGTTTAGGGTTCCGGGTATCTAAATGGAGTTGTTCCAGTGCTTTTGTGCTGCCCCAACCAATCCCATAATGAGAGATATGAAAAAATATTCTCCTGGCCGCAGGCCCATCCGGTGCGGGATAAGTGGGTCAGATTCAAAACGCCCACAGGAAGCAGACAGCCACAGAGAAAGAGAAAGAGATAGAGAGCCTAGTGGGGCACGGGAGGCGTGCGGAGGTTCTCTCGCCAATGGTCCAAGCCCCAACGAAAGGAAAAGCATCAGAAAGCGAAAACGCAAACGAAAAGCTCATAAATGAACATACATAAATTACATAAAGAACAAGCGAAATAAAGCAGTCAGTCGAAGATCCAACAACAACATCTATAATTTAAAGGAGGCAAGAAAACATGGGTGGCTGGATCCAGGCTCTGTCAACGGGCTTTAGGAGAGCAGGTCCATGAGGAGGTCCAGACTCTTAGCTCCTGCGAACTGGGGGGAAGGAATCCCAAGCTGTGCGCCAAAACAGAGAGGAGGAGGACAAGGATAGGGTCCATGGCGCTCCTGGATGTCCTTCTTCAGAAGAAGGAAAGACGGAGAGGAAGCAAAGAGATAACAAAACCAGGAAGTGTGATTTACTGGTAGCAGCCCAATGTCCCGGTGTAGCAAACCCTTCCATTTTGAGCCGCATTTGGGGTCTGTCAGCAGAGGGGCATCTCAAGTTTTTCAAGCCGAACTGACCCAGGGCGGCAAACCTGTCGAGAACTACAAGCTGACCTCCGCGGCACTAACCTTGGACATCTTCAGACATCTTCAGACCGTCTGCAAATCTTGACTTGGGGTCTCTAAGCAATTGATCTTCAACAGCACTCTGTTGGCTTTTCTGATGTCGCTGGCTTTTTTCTGAGGTTGCAATGGCTGGTGTAACCACTGGTGCATGGAGCTCAGACTTGGAAGAACTCAATGAGGAGCACAGGTTTACTAGTTAAGAGTTACTAGGACCAAAGATTGACAGCATCTCTTCAAGGTGGACTGTGGAAAGCCGAGCCCGCTCTGGCGTGGTGTCAGCCAGTGGCAAAGTTCTTGTTGGCCCGTGAGGGCCGTGAGGGTGCCCCAAAGTGCGCAGAGCCGTGTGGCGAATTGGTTGCCCTGCTCCGAGGCAAGACGTGCGGCTTTTGCCAGGTCCTGGTGGCCCCGGAGGTGCCTTCGCTTGTCTTGGAGATACACGGAGTATCACGGAGTATCACGGAGTATCACGGAGTAGACATGATCTCGCATGTTAAGACTTGCAGGCTGCCACTTCCTACCTCACATGCGAGAAGTACTGCCAGGCACAAATACGGGAAAGGTCCTGAGATTTCTCGCATGTGTTTCAATCGCTCCGTGTCATCTCGCACAGGCACAAGGAGAACCCGGGCTTGGCTCTTGTTTCGGCTCGTAGACTGCACCCATGGCCACAGATGGGTTGCGACATTTCCTGCAGGAGGGTTGGCCTGCAAGAAGGCTTTCCAGGGAAATCTGCACAGCAGGGAGCTGAGAGGTCTGAGAGGGTACCACGCAGTGCCACGCAGCCCACCTCTGCTCATTCAAGTTGCTTCCTTGCAGAAGCCAGGCTGTGACGTTGGGTACGCCTCTCAAAGGCTTTTAAACTCCTCAGTTCTTTTCACGCGCAAGAAAAAGCCGAACCAGATTCTGGATCATCGCTTTGCCTGAGGGCGGAGATGAGCTGCACTGCAGAGTTCCCGAAGAACATCGCTCCTGTGTGCGAATGTGATCTGCCAATAAAGGACCGAAGCAACAAGTCAGTCCTGGACCTCACCTGGAGAAGTAGTTTTGCGATGTTTTGCGTACCCTGTTCTCGCTGTGATGGTGCTACGAACAAGTGGCGTCTGATTTGTTTGTGGTGTGTTGTTGACAGACTCCGGCGGAAGCCCTGAAGAAATCACGAGGTCGAAGTAGAACAAGGAGTGAGGTTGAAGACCTGGCTAGGACATGATGTGCAAGCTGTGTGTGAAGTTGGCAAGTATGGGCAACTGCTGACATGAGTAGACCCGGCTGTTGTGGGCATAGGCTATTTCTTCCATTTGGCGCCACGAACAGCACAGACAAGTCTGTGACCATGCGTGAGTGGCTTTCACATTTCAAGCAAATTTTGCTTACAGCGATAGAAGTTTTGGGCACCGGTCATCCCCGACCTCGTTGCATTGTTCCATCGCGTTCTTTCGCACAAACCTTTTGCATGTTGATGTTCTGTCCATGAAAGGCTAGAGACGGCGAAGGGTCGCAGGGTTCAGCTCCGGCTGCAGAGCTTGACTCTGACGGATGAAACATAATGAAACCGAACCATGGACAAAGAGAGCAACTCACATCCAGAGAGCAAGTGCATGGTGGTATGTTTAGAACAATGGAAGGTCATGCATGGAAGCCTGAACAGTTGTTAATGTTGTTGTTGTCGAGTTGCTCCTGACGTGTATATGAACAGTGTATGTGTTGTTGGTATATATGCGAATATGTCAGTAGGACGCTGTGTTGCCATAGAGTCTGTTTCAAAGGATGCAAGCGCAACAAAAGGTTTTTGGCACGAACGAAGCAGATCTAGTTCATGAGGCCGGAACGTCCGAAGCGCCGTACTTTATCATTCATGGTTGCAGTGGCGAAGGGCAGACTGTAGGGCTGTGGGGAATTTTACCTTGTGGCAGCGCTAAAGGCAAGCCGTATAAAAACATCGCGTGCAGCCGAAAGATGTGGTGGGATGTGGAAGGAGTCTGTGCACGTGATTGGTGCCGACGTGGCGGCGGCCTCATCGGTCCGACTTCGGGGTCATTAGTATGGAGGTATGGAGTACATATTTTTCATCACGCATGTGCAGGGGAAGGGTCATATTGAGATGAAGGACCTGCAGTGCCTCTCCGCAGACAACGCCGGCTGCAACACGCCTGAGCCGCAGGGTGATGTGGACATCAAGCCGACCCTTTTTTCAAGCCCTTCCATTTGCGGTCACACTGTCACAGGCTCACCGATGCCTTCAAATGCCTGGCCAGCGTCGACGGGCGCCCCGACGCGACTCTTGTCGGCCGCAAGGCTCTGCCATGCCGGTTCCTTGAAGGACTTGCGTTTCAGTGTGTTTCAGTGTTCAGTCGTCAGGTGAAGGGTCAGCCATGCGTGTGGTGCCACGGAAGGCCAGAGCCATCTTTTCTGTGCCTGAGAGATTTTGAGATCTTCTGTGAGTTCGCGCAATGAGGAATTGCAACAGCGAGGGCCCACACTGCGAAGCTTATGATCTCCAGATGAACGGCACCCTGGAAAGCAAGACCCGACTTGGCATGTGGTTCCACAATGTGCAGCCGCTCCGCGTCTTGCCGCTGAGGAGAGGGTTATGCGTTTACCACAAGTGTCTGGACTGCATGGAGAGGATCCAAAACTGCTCGCACAATTTTGCATGCGTGCTGGCCCATGTGCTGTCGGCTGAATTGTTTGCCGGGGCATCGCTGAGGCTTCGACACAGACCCCATTGTGGCTGAGTGTGAGGCCAGTGTTGGGGCTAGTGTTGGGGCTAGTGTTGGCTTTTTGAAGGACAGTCCCCGGGCCGTGATTGCTCTTCGCAGGGTGGTGCGGTCAAAGCACATCCTCATGTGCACTCGGCTGTTCTGGATCTTCCTGAACCGAAGATGGCCGCCTGGCAAACATGGGAGATCATTCTGCAGGAAGCCTTTGCAGAACTACTGGGGTGCCCGATCTGATCCCAGGACAATCTGGGCTGCCTGACCGTGCAGGCAAGCAGATTTTGCCGTGTGTTGGTTTTGACACACGTGTCGTGCCTGCTCAGTCGCGGGGATGCATGGCGATTACCGACAAGCTGGCCTGCCTCAGCCTTGCACTTGGTGACCTCAGAGATCGCTTGACGTGCCGTTTTTTTCAGAAGTACGCGCCGCGGGCTTGTCGCACGAAACGTACACTGCATCAGCATGACAGTCCGCTACACACCGCATTGTTTACACTGCTCTGTACATTGCGCAGCAAGAAGACGCTATTCTTGCGGGTGCTCATTTGTTCTGGATGTCTTTTTCGTTCGGGGCGGTCCGATGAGTGAGCGAGTGACTGAGCTGGCCCGTGCCCGTAGCCAAACAACTCGGTATGCTTGTAACAACACCCTGCCCACTCTTAAGCCTTGCCAGGTTGAAAGAACATCATGCCTTGAAGAGGAACTGCTTCAAAACCAAATATGAATCCTTTGCTTCAACATCCATATCCTTTTCCAGCCCGCAGTCTGCAAATCGTTGTCCATTTGGAAGGGGGATAGCGGGGCGCTCGCCAGTTGCAAAACGAAATGGAGGTTGGCACTAAAACAGATCCGAAATTCGGGCTCTCATCCAACCGGAGTTGCACTATGGACGATGGAGGAAGTTTTGAGGTTTTCGTAGAACGTAGAGACAAGGGAGGTTTTGCATTTTCCTGTTCCTACCAAAACATGCAGGAACAGAGGAACCACGAAGAGCTGCTTCAAAACCCACTGTGGCTGTGGATCCTTGCCAAACCTACCATACAAGCAAGAGATGAAATTTGCGTTTTCCTTGTGCAATAGGGAGGTTTGCCTAAAAACGTGGAAATGGAGGTTGGCCTACAGGAATGGTGTTTGTTCTCGCTACCGTTATAAACTAGATTTGGCATGATATATACTGATGAAGCATAGGCTTGGCGAGTCACAGATAGAGATTATTGAGTTACTTTACGACATCGAGAAAAAGGTTTGCCTATCAAAAGAGAGAGTGCGCGGAGCTTCCTAACTATACCATAGCATAGAGAAAGCAGTTGTTCCTTGTAACGTTTGGAGAAATTTGAGGCTTTCCCTGTACATATATGTATATCTATATTTCATTTAGTACATATAGCAATAGAGAAACTCTAGAGAATATACAGAAGTTTTCCTATTTCTTATTTCGGCACCCGGGCAAAAACCAGCACCCCACACTGGGCAAAAAACACACACCCCGCATCCCCGCCAAAAAGAGCCGCCCAGCCCCCCCTTTTTCCGCCGGCAGCAAGAACAGCCCAAGGCAGCGTCGACGGCTCCGACGCTTCTTTCGGAGGCTTCAAGATCAGCGGGCAGCCTTGCGTGTGGTGCGGTGGCACGCCGCAATCTGAGATTCGATACGGATGAAGAGTTTGCTTTGAAAGACAGACGTCTCAGGTCCTGCACGGATGGTGGAAGCTTCAAGTGCGCGCCCTTTGATTACCTCACCAAAGGGGCGACTAAGGCCTGGCGTGTTGCTATAGCATGTGTGGCATGTCGACGCGACGTGGACAAACATGTTCCGAAGGTGTTCCCTCACGTGACCGTCTTCGTCCCAGAGGGCTGTCAGTCTTGAAAGCGCATGCGGGCACATGCCACATGCTGTCATGATGCACATGTCCCTCGTATTCAGGCGGTGTCTGCAACCGTTGCCCAGTGCCATGTGCCTGCCTGAGACCATTGAGGAAGCCAGGTTGTGCCGTCTGCTTTCTTTTTTGTTCGGCGCTCTAGCACGCCTGGAGCTTTCCGATTGTGACACATGAGGCCCAAAGCATGGCTTTCCCAGCAGAGGAGATGGCTTGCCTCAAGCCCCGAGCCCTAGCTTCCACAGTACAACGTGTCAGAGCAGCAGCAGATCTGTCTCTGGCGTTGTCATCCTTTACCATGTGCCAGGAATGCGGAGACCGGCTGCCATCTCATTCGGGTGATCCCTGCATGCTTTCCTACTTCTTCTGGAGATGGGAAGTCGGCTGTAATGGTTCTGTGATGCCAGGACATGGATACTTGCGTGAGCAGCAAGGAAGGCCGTCCCTACGAGTTCATCGCAGGCTTCAAGGCCTCTTGCATCCTCCTGCCTTCCAATTGGCATCCGGCTCCATGGCCCAAGCCAAGCGCCTTGACGTGCTGTCGCAGGTCAAGGGTGAGCCCTGCGTTTGGTGCGGTGGCGGGCCAGCCTCTCACGGCGTGTGCTACAAACCTGCGCTGCCACCCATGTGTGACTTTCCACCAGGCAGTGCAACAGCGGATCGCCCAACCTGTGCGAGCCATACGACTACGCCGTCAATGGTGCAGGCCGTCAGACATGTGCCGGGTGTGTGCGGAGGGCCGGAGTTTTTTCCTGGGTGTGGCTTAGCTCGGCTTGGCTCCTCTTGTCGTACCCCCGGGCAACTTCAGTCTTTCTTTGGTATGGCACGCCTTGGCTCAGCTTGGCTCCTCTTTTTAGGTTTCTTGGTTTGGCTCCTTGATTTTTCGTCTAGGTTCGGCTTTAGCTCAGCTTGGTTCGTCTTTTTGTTCTGCCCTAGGTTCTGCTTGGCTTTTCGTTCAAGGCTTGGGTACGGCTTAGCCCCCGTTTTGGCTTGGCAGGGCTTGGCTCGAGCTGCTCCTAAACTGATTCAACACCGATATGAATCCTTTCCGAACCCATATAAACCCATCATACGAAGATCATGTTTGCAATTTGCTCGGGAGGGAGTCTGCAGTGCCCTCTCTTCCCACCCCCGCCCGTATTGTTTGAGGAGTTCAATTTTCAAGTTGTTTGATTTAATGCGCCCGCCCCGTCACGGTCACACCCGGTCATACCGGTCATAACGGGCATGCCTCGTCATACTCGGTCACGATCATACCCGGTCAAACCCGTGCCCGGTCATACCCGGTCATACCCGGTTATACCCGGTTATACCCGGTCATAGCCGGTCATAGCCGGGCATAGCCGGGAATAGCCGGGTATAGAAGGGCATACCTGGTCATACCCGGGCATAGCCGGGCATACCCGGACATTCCCGGGCAGTCGCGGTTTCCCGTCACAGTGGTTTTTTGTTGAGGACGGAAGGCAGGAAAGGAGGAAAGCAAGGATGGGAGGGAAACGATGGATGGGAAAGGAAGGATGGAAGAGTGGCGCATGTTTTTTAGGAGGTAGGGAAGAAGGGAGGACGGAAGGACGGAAGGACGGAAGGACGGAAGGACGGAAGGACGGAAGGACGGAAGGACGGAACGACGGAAGGACGGAAGGAAGGAAGGAAGCGAGCGAGGAAGCGAGGAAGCGAGGAAGCGAGGAAGCGAGGAAGCGAGGAAGCGAGGAAGCGAGGAAGCGAGGAAGCGAGGAAGCGAGGAAGCGAGGAAGCGAGGAAGCGAGGAAGCGAGGAAGCGAGGAAGCGAGGAAGCGAGGAAGCGAGGAAGCGAGGAATCCTTCCAAACCCGACATTAAAGCCCGGAGAGCAAAAACCACCTTTTGAAGGACTGGGAGATCACAATGTGCAGAAGGCTTGCAGCGCACGACATCATGTGATCCACAAGAACTTCATCAAGAACAATATGAATCACCCCCTCACCACCCTCTCACGCTTCCCTCCTCTCCCCGCTTCCTTCCCCTCTCCACTCGAGCCAGCTCAAGCCAAATCTTGAGCCAAGCCAAACCTTGCGCCAAGCGAAGCCAAGCCAGAAGCCAAGAAGCCAAGACCGAAACCCCTCCACACCGTGTGCGGATGCGTGACCTCTTGCAGCATCTTGCAGCCTCCAGCTTGGTTCAGTTCAGGACACGCTTTCCATACGCAGCTCAGCAGCTCGGCTGGAGCACAGTTTGATTCATCCATTGTGTTCTTGTGTTCTTTGGCATTTAATTTGGCATTTAATTTGGCATTTAATTGGTGATGCATGTGTGCCTGCCATGTGATGTGTTTGCCTGTTTTTCCAGGCCCCGCGCTCTATTCCAGGGCATCATGTGACAAGGTGCGAATTCAGTGCTGCGGACATGCGAGGACTTTTTAGTGCTGGCTTGTGCAGCGTGCAAGGAAGGCCAACCGGCCGCCGTGCAGCTGCCGAGTCAAATCGAGGCACATGGCTACCATCAAACGGTTCGACAGCCCAGATGTGCTTAGAGTCATAAGAGTCATAAGAGTCTACAGAGTCTGCATTGAAGGGCCGTGGCCATCACTGTCAGCGCCCAGGTGCAGTGTGGACACCCAAACCCCACATGGATGAAAGTGGGCCTTGGGCTCAAGTGCTGACCTTGCAAGACTAGACTCCACCAAAAACTTGCTTCCGACTTGAGGCAAGACCTGCGGCTTCTGCAAGGTCCTGGTGCCCTCGATCAAGGAGCCCTGAAATCACGTCCCAGCATGTCTCAGGGCAGGCCCTGCTGCAGCTTCAGGAGCAGTTCGCCAGCTGCACAGAATACTGTGGCTCCCAAGGCGCAGGGGTGAGCCTGCGGGAGGAGGCATATGCCGGTCTACCCAACGATCGGCAGCAAAACGGTGGTGACAGGTGGCTTGAAGTGCAAATCGGCCGCTGTCGGAGAGCTTGACAGCTGTGACGTGTGCCTCCGGCCGGTGGGCAAAGGTATGCAAAGGTGCAAAGGTGACAGTTCGGTGCGAGCATGAAAAGCTTTGCCAGGAAGCAAGCGGCTTCCTGCGACACCGAGTTCCAGGTAACAAGCCGGCTCGAGTGAAGTTCGGTTTTTGGGACTTGGGCATCTGCGAGAGGTGTACGGGCACGCCATCTGCGAGTGCGAGCCGGCTTCGATGGACACGGTCAAGGCCGTGACCTGGATGCCGTACACAATCGCTGTTCTTTGGGACGCTGACAAGGAGACTAACGAGCAGTTTTCCCAAGCGGTCGCAGCGGGCGCTCAGCACGAGGTGCAACTGGCACGCCTTTAAACATTTAAGGTTCGTGATCAAGTTGGCTGTTTTCAGTGCCGTTTCTCGGGGGAAGCGAAAGATAGACTTACCATTGAGCCAATATGCATGAGCAATACAGCGGTGCTTGTGCGCTGTACAGGTAAATGGCATGATTGGTGCGCACTTGCAAAGGAAAGCTGAGATCCTCCAATTTCAAGGTGTTGGGGGAATAAGGCTTCGGCACGTTGGTTGAAATGTACCTCGTTGTGTGTGTGTGTGAACACGCTCCATGTTCGGTGCTTCTATATAACCACTGCCTAACATGTGCCCAGATGGGAGTGCGTCCTCACTTTCGCAAGTTGGTGAAGTCAACATGCCTTCCTGCTGTTTTAGACATCACATATGTGACAAATGCCGCTAATGCGGCTCCGGTGGTGGACTCGTGTGCCATGGCATGGGCCTTGCTTAATGATGTCTGTGCATGTTTGTCGGTGCGACGTTGCGAGGTCAGCGCCGGCCAGCATTGCCTCAACAGCGTGGTCGCTTCCCAAGCAGAAAGCTGGGCCGGTGCATTCCCTCGTTGCATGGGGGTACACCTCTGAGGCTACGGGCTGCGGTTCCATCACGGACAAGCTGGACTGCCTCAGCACCATGCCTTCATTCATATCTTGATTCCTTGATCATGCGCTGTTTCAGTTGCTGTGCCTTGTAAGGCAGCATGGACGGTAGTCCCAACGCAACCTACCGTACCACGAAGATTAACGGGCAGCCTTGCGCCTGGTGCGGTGGAGTGCTCGAACCTCAGACGTCGAGGTTGCATTGAGGTGCCTTTGGCAGTGCCGCGTATCTGCTGGCATTGCCCAGGGCCTGCACATCTCACGATCCGTTTGCGAAGTGCGTTGCGCTGGACTTCCTTGTCAACGGACAGGGCCCGGTGCTGGGCTCAGCTTGAAGCCTCCGAGCGCCGTAGTTTGAGACGGCCTGAAGCAAATCATGCCATGTAGGAGAGAACAGCGTGCATCTCGCACACGTCACAGGCATATGCCACTCGCCACGTCGTGCTGCTCTTATCCGATAATCCTCCACCGCCTGTCATCTCTTACAATGTCTTTCACTATGATGCAATGAGTTGCCACGCTTGTGGAAGTTTTCCACTTCTTGCTTCACTCAGACCGCCGCCACTGTCGACGTTGCAGGCTGTGATAAGGCATCAGCCATTGGTTTGGCTTGCAAATGAGCCAGTTTGGCTTTATCAGCGCTTTATCCCTGTGCGGTCATCCTTGTCGCAGGCACCACGCACGAGAGACTTTGGCGATGTCACCTGCCTGAAGCGCGAATCAAGCGGCTGCAATGCCCTCAAGGAAAGGAAGTGTATATTCAGGTGGTAGTACAAGCCCCATGTTGCCTAGCAGTTAAATGCCGTGAAGTGATGGTTTGGCAGGACAAAACCAGTTGCCTGTCAAGCTTTGATGGCCGACCTTACACGCAAGTTGCCGGACTCAAGGCCAGCAGCACAGATCACAAAATCGTTCAACGGCCAGAAAATTGAGTCTCTTTGACAAGGTGGAGGGTCAGCCGTGCGTCTGGTGTGGTGGAGTGCCGGAAGCTTCAAGACCTTTCAGTTGTCAAACCTGAGGGGTCACGCTTTCTTCCATGTCGTTTGGAGTTTGGATTGCCCATGGATGCCCATTCCACTCCCCATAAAGAGCTCTCAGAGTGGTTTCCAATGTCAGGTTGGGTCTCGTGTTTCTTGCTCGTATCTGTGTTTGATCTTTTTTTGACCTGTCAGTCCTTGTCTCATTTAGTTTCCCTTCATGTGGGGTTGTTGTGGCGCGCTCGGCGCTTTTTTTTTTTTTATAAGGATCTTCGACTTCAGGTAGGGTCAGTCTGGGTCGGGACTTCTGGTTTGCACGTGGGGGGCGGTGTGGGTGGTCAGGCTTGTCTACCTTTGTCATCCTTTGTGCCGGTTGGCGTGGGTGGAGTCGGAGTCCACGGTTCTTCCTTTTCTTATCTTTGTTGCCCTTGTTGCCCTTCATGTGATTCATGTGGCAATGTGGGGATGTGGATGAGGTTTGGCAGTTCTTTTGGAGGCTCTCGCCGTAGTCGCCGTACCTCGCACCGTTTCTTTTCGCAAGACTTCAAGATGTCGACCGCGGAATGTGTGTTTCATGGGGGAAGCTAAGCTATGATGGGGTCTGGGCTATGGGAAGCCGTGGGAAGCTTATGTCTTCGAATGCCCTTCGCATGCCTCTGCAGGTTGCTGCTTTCAACTCGGACATTTCGAATTGGGGGCAGGTTGTATTTGTACGGAGAATGCTTGGCAGGTGGGGGCAGAGCTCTTGGCAGCTTTTGGATGGCTTCGTGCTAAACTTCGGCCCGTTCATGGTGAGTCTACGCTTCGGCCTGTTCGTGGCAAGTGTGCAGACTCCGCCAGCCAAAACGGTGCTGAACGGCAAACGGCTCTTTTCAGCGGCAACAGTCCCCTAAAGACTGGCTTATCCAAAGCTCAAGTTTAGGACGACGTCATTCTAAAGTTGCCCAGGGCGCTCTTGTGGGCCAGGTGGCACGCGCTTGATCAGGGTTCAGCGCGATTGCGCAGGATGTCACGTTTGAGACGACGTCGTTGCTGCCTGCCGAGTCTCTTTTTGCAGGCGGCAGTGTGACGTCCTGGGATTTCTCTGTCTGCAAAGTCGCGTTGCCAATGTCTTGCTTCGACTCGGCTTCGGCTGTTTAGAGATTGACATCTTGAGCGACAACCGAGCTGTCTGTAGTTGTCGCTCTTTTTCTAACCCGCCCACGCCACGCTGTTAAGTCAAAGGTGGTGGGGTGTGGATGGAGCGGGTATGCATCGGACGCCATCTGTTTCCGCGTTTTCCATATAATAAGGCGTGGACTGCTGTCGCTTGCTAGTAGTGAGAGCGATGTGTGAGGTGCAAAGGTGTGTGTGTGTGTGTGTGTGTGTGTGTGTGTGTGTGTGGAAAGGCGTCACGGCCAAGTTGTTTTCGAGCAGGGGGCGTGGCAGAAGATATCCGAGCCTCGCCAGTGAAGTTGTGGATATCTGCCGGAAGAGGGATTGGACGCAATCCCTTGTACCTGCAAACGTGGTGCACCTGGATGACTGAGTTCATCGCTGGTGACCACAAGGAAAAAGTCGGGCCCTTTTCGGTTTTGTCCAAAAAATGTTTTCAAGGCCAGGGTCTGAAACAGGTTTGCAGGCCTGTGAGCGCAAGGCTACACAATGCAAGCTACACTGTGTGAACTGTGTGAGCTGCGCGAGCTGTGCTGCGCTGTCATGTAACCTTCATGAGTGCATTTTCATTTGACATAGCTTCGCAGAAGCTTGTCACTGTGTGTGTGTGTGTTTTGTTTTGCACGCCGTGTTTGCTGACTTGCTTGGGAGGGTGGAGGGGAACCGTTCATGTGTAAATGCCTTTTCTAAAGGGGTGAAAGGGCTTAAACAAGTTGGTATTTTGATTAAGCTATGTAATACAGCGAACACGATGCGAAGATTGACGTTTGCAATGTCTATTTCGGCGGCATCGCAGAATCACGGACAAAGAGCAACGACTGTCGCATTCTGGACGCTACGGTTGCAAGGAGTGGCGAAGACCTCAAAAGAATAAGCATCTTAGCCCCTTTAAAGCCGTTTGGGCGCGGAAGGCCTTCTGAAACCTCTGTCATGAAGACGATGAAGCAAAGCAGGAATCAGCAGCTGAGCTCAGGCCTTGTACTAGCAACAACGCCAACCTCTGCGAGCCTTACGAGTTCGTCACCCATGGTACAGGTCGGTTTGCTGCAAAGGTTGGGTTCATTTTGTTGGTGTTTGGATGAACAGGACATGCCTATGACGTCAACAACCACCTGACCTTCTACTCAGCGGCTTGTGAGGACCAGAGCGGTGCTAGGGGTGATGTTGCAGCGTGCAGGTTTAGTGAGGGACGAAGGGCGAATTTGAGACACTTGTCTAGGCTTTCAAAGTGGGTCCCATGTGGACTATTTGTGTGTATTTCTATTTTTCTAGAAGTAGCGCCATCCGAGAACGTGAAAAAACGAATGTTCATAGTTTGTCGATTTGTGTACTGTTGTTTTTCGGTATTGTTTATTTTTTTTGTTGCTTTCCGGTTTTTCGCCTTCGCTGTTTTGTTTGAATGATGTGTTTTTCGCTTCCCGCTTTAGGGTAGTTTAGGCCAATGAGTTTCTCGAAAAAGCATGCGCATCCTTTCCAGAGCTGTGCATATGAGCATTGTGTTTGCCACCCTCCCCGAAGCCACTGCTTGGTAAGCCGACGGAGCTTGTTTTGGGGCATCGGACCGGAAATAGCACCTGGACCCGGACTGGGCTTTTGTAATTACAGAAAATAGAGGTGTCCTGTTACAGCAAGAGGAGACCCGCCCTGCCCCCCACCCCCCCTCCCCCCATTCTGTGTGCAAATGGGCCGGGTTACAACAGACTAAACAGGAGATATCCTGCCCCCTGTCCCCCGGCGCCCGACCCGTGCTATTTTCAAGGCTAGCGATCCATGCCTTTTGCAGCATCATGGCTTTTGAGGGTATCACTTGTCCATAGAGCTTGTCCTATGGTTTTCTTATTCGATAAAATGGAGGAATTCCGTCTTATATATGTATACATAGAGGACTTAAGCCAAGGAAGATGTTTCACCTAGTAGAAATGGAAAAGAAACACGAGTTATCCTATCAACAAGTAGTGGAAGTTCACATCCAAGCATGAAGCAACTGTTTATCCAGACAAATATCGCGTGCAGATAAGTGTGTGGAAATTTCAGAAGCTGTTGCAGTAAGAAAACATTGTATAGAAATCTCATCTATTTTCTTTGTCGAGCGAAACAGGAAAACATCTACTTTATCGGGTTAGTCGAAGAAGAGGGCCTTGTTTCAAAACTCTATTTTCTGGATGTGTCCATAGAAAAGCCTCTAGTCTTGACATTTCACCGTTTCTCTCAAACGGAAGTTTTTTCCTTTAAACGAGGAGGAGAGGTTTCCATTTTTAGTTGAGAGCAGATGGAAGCTTGCCTTCTAAAG